ACTGTAAAAAAATACAAAAGACAACAGTAAGATTGCTGTTGAACAATGTCTCCACGGGTGGTTCTAGACAGGACCCAAAAGTGGCCTGTGTCCCTATAAAACTTGTCCTGGCCCCGTTATAACCCCTACACTAAAAACATAAACTGCATGCATTTAAAGGTAAGTCATTGTTTCTTGAAATTGATGTATATAATCTGAAAGGTAAGACAATTTGCAGATGGAATAATATGATGTATAGTCAAAAAAGAAAAAAGGACTATTATCTTGCTTAAAGTGAATGAATGAAGCTGTTGCTGAACTGGGGAGCTCCATCAGTGACAGACTGCTGCACCCTAAATGCATCATGGAACATTATCACAGATCCTTCCTCCCAGCAACAGTTGTTGGGAACCACCACTGTTTCCAACAACCTCAATAAGTTGTTACATTGATGCAGATTTTTGCACAGTTTCTGTCTTAGTCATTTAACATGCAGATGTCATTTTATTTTGCACATCTCCAGCGTTGCTATTTTTCACATATCCATTACTTTGAAAATGTCCAAAGCCTTTATTGATTTTTTATTCTCCAGATTATTATATTGTAAAACACTATATAGTGTACAGTATAGTATTTTATTTGGTTTATTTTTCTATCTGTTATTTTTATACACTTTTCTAAGGTGCAGATTGTGTGACCACTTCTACTATAACCTTTGCTGCTGTAAACGCCACGATTTCCCCAGTGTGGGACAATGAAGGGATTTTCTATTCTATTCTAGCATAAATTATTTTGTTTATAGTGCCAAAGTTCTCCTTCCTTTGGCTGATCATGTTTACATGCTCAAATTAAGAGCAAATCCAATTATTTTTTTTTTTTATTTTTGCTTTTGCTTTTTTAGATTTTTTTCTCCAGCGTTATACTAAATCTGTTTGTTATGATGGTATGTGTTGACTGATTTGTCCCTAATACCACTTTAGGAGTTTTAGGCCTGGTTAAATTCATCCAGAACCACCATCCCATGCATAGTGCTTTTGCAGAGCTGGAACGTTCCTTCAGTGACTGAGTTTTGAATCCCGTATGGATAGAAAAACATTCTCCAGTTGCTGTTAGACCCTGTAATCTTTTCAGCTCCAAAGAGGCTCAATCGTGTTTACAATCATGGTAATGGTTGCACAGGTTCTAGGGTTATTAAACATTTATTTTCACTGTTTCTAGTCGGCATATGTGTCTTATGGATGTTAAACAATGCATATTTTAATGACCAAATTGACATATGTTCACATTATTAAATTAATTGTCTGTTGATTCTCTATTTTCACATTTTCTTTTCTGTCACAACTGAATTTCCCGACTGTAAAAACAAAAATATATTTTTCTAAAGAGTAGAATTAAAAACACTGGTACTAAATTCTAAATAAATGATCATAGAAGAGCATTCACCCTATATGAAACCCTTTTACTTCACCTATGTTATGTTTAATGGGTTGTAAAGGGGCTAAATATAGGTTTACGAGGGTGCATCCTGCATGTTTGGGCGCTGTTATCTTTACCTGCAGGTTCTCTGAAACAATGCCTGAAACGTCTATGAAGGCTGAAGTCCTTAGTTTTTATCCCCCAACTAAATGAGACACACAGTGCCAGTAAAAAACACATGAAAATGTGATATGACAAAGATGTATTGTTTTATAAGAATGCTTTGCTTTAACTCGGTTTTTGAAGTGTATTTCTTAAGGCTTCTTGTTTCCAACCAAAATCCAACAAAAAAAAATAAAAAGCTTTAAAACTTTTTGGCCTTATAGGATGCAAGGTGGCTCACATACACACATAGATTTTTCACAAAGTTGCGTCTAATTAGGTTTACGTGCCATTGGTATAACCATTGCTATTATTTATAAAGAGCTTAAAAAAAACCCACCACAGCTGCAACAGAGAGCTGTAGTTACACATAAAACCAAGAAACATTTAGAACATAAAACAGCGAAAGACGTATGAGAACAGTTAAAAAACAGCTAAAATATTACTCGTACTCGTCGTCTCCCGCTTTATCCGGAACCGGGTCGCGGGGGCAGCAGACTAAGCAGAGACTCCCAGACTTCCCTCTCCGCAGACACCTCCTCCAGCTCTGCTGGGGGAAGCCCTAGGCGCTCCCAGGCCAGCCGAGAGACGTAGTCTCTCCAGCGTGTCCCGGGTCGTCCCCTGGGCCTCCTCCCATTGGGACGTGCCTGGAACACCTCCCGAGGGAGGCGTCCAGGGGGCATCCGAAGAAGATGTCCGAGCCACCTCAACTGACTCCTCTCGATGTGGAGGAGAACCTGCTCTACTCTGAGCCTCTCCTGAATGACCGAGCTCCTAACCGTATCTCTAAGGGAGAGCCCAGCCACCCTGCGGAGGAAGCTCATTTCAGCCGCTTGTATCCGGGATCTCGTTCTTTCGGTCATGATCCAAATTTCATGACCATAGGTGAGGGTAGGAACGTAGACCAAACGGTAAATTGAGAGCTTTGCCTTTTCGCTCAGCTCTCTCTTCACCACGACAGACCGGTGCAGCGTCCGCATTATTGCAGCAGCCGCACCGATCCGTCTATCGATCTCCCGCTCCATTCTTCCCTCACTCGTGAACAGGACCCCAAGATACTTGAACTCCTCCACTTGAGGCAGGGACTCTCCTCCAACCTGAAGGGGACAAGCCACCTTTTTCCTAAAATATTAATAAAACAATAAAAACAGAAGTAAAACTACAAAGTATCAGGTTGAGATGAAAGTCAAGAAGTAGAAATGTGTTTTTTTTTAGAGGAGTTTTAAAAGTTGAACAATAAAGAGGCTTTTCTGATACGGAAAGGGAGCGTAACTAATATTCTCGGAACAGCAAGTGTCCCATTTGAGTTTTTGACTGCATCAAAAATGGCTGAATCAGCTCTGAGAGGGATAAAAAAAAAATATATATATACATATATATATATATATATTTTTTTTTTTTTTTTTTTATTCCCATAGGTGATGTTGGTGAAGGCCTATAAAAATTGCTTGTGACTACAGCAATGGATCTGAATATGCGGACTGCAGCAGCAGAACTCGAACACTTGGGATTTGATCACACCTTTCTAAAAGTTCTGGGATCTGTGCTCCAGCCTCTCCCTCCCTCCTCCTTCTGTTGGGGCCCGCCTGTGTTTGGTTAGTTTGCTTTAACACAAAACATTTGCGTTCAGCATGTTCAGTCATTCACACTGACATGACTGACCTTACTTACACCACACTCTGCAGTATTTTCACTTGAACTTCACTTAGTTTATGTTTCCTGTTTTTAACATAAACCATGAGGCCATTTGTTACACATATTCACGTTAGTTCATATTCAGGTTCAGGTTCGCTAAGGTAAATCCATATTTTGGATTTACATTAGCGTTGGATTAAAACCAGTATTTATGAACAAAAGAGGATCTATTAAACAGCCAATAGCTGCAAAAGGCTACTTTTTAATGAACAACTGGACTAATTTCAATGGAGCTTGGCATGGAAGTGATCTGGAGATCTATTAGTCTGCCTCTCCACTGTTTCACCAGACAATTTAAGATTTAATTGTGAAATTAAAAAGAAAATTTACCTCCATCTGAAAAATGGAGTTTGGACCACTGGGTGACAGTCCAGATTTTTGTCCTCATCTGTTGCTGGGTCACGAGCTGCCTGGTAAAATGGATTGCAGCCTCTGTCCTGAAAGCACCTGTGTGCTCATGGAGCTCTGACTTCTGCTGCACCTTCTCCTTCCATCCTGCTTTCCATCAACGTGTTTAGATACACTTCTCTTTAAAAAGACATCGTTTTCATTAATTATCCATTTATTTGTCTTTGGGTTTCCATTATATATATATCCATCCATCCATCCATTATCTGACACGCTTGTCCTGAGTGGGGTTATGAGGGGTTATCTCCAGCAGTCAATGGACGAGAGGCGGGGTACACCCTGGACAGGTCACCAGTCCATCGCAGGGCAACACAGAGAAACACAGGACAAACAACCATTCTCACACACATTAACACCTAAGGAGAATTTAGCCAATTAACCTAACAGTCATGTTTTTTTGGACTGTGGGAGGAAGCCAGAGTACCGGGAGAGAACCCACGCATGCTCAGGGAGAACATGCAAACTCCATGCAGAAAGACCCTGGGCCGGGAATTATATATATATAATATATATAATTAGATAAAGAAATTAAACATTCAATAATATGAATTAGATTTACTTATTTCACAAAATTCAGAAGCAAATACTTTGTGTTGGATGCTTTTTAATTACTCACTATTTGATCCTAAACAATGTTCTGCACTTTTAACACTATTACATTTATTTCTCTACAACTGCTGGTATCATAAAGCATTTTACTAACCTTTTTAGCATTCTTTCTCTTTGTAACTATTAATTTCATGTTACCATGTACTGCATGGTAAATTCATTTCAGCTAATTTAAAAAGCACGTTATTAATCCCAAAATAATGAATTGTATTTGTTATTTAGAAAATGTACATATATCTCCAGAAGTACTTTACGAATATATATATATATATATATATATATATATATATATATATATATATATATATATATATATATATATATATATATATATATATATTTTTTTTTTTTTTTTTTTTTTTTTTTTTTTTACTTATTTTAAGGGCAAAACTAGATCATCTCACTTTTGTCCTCCAATTTCACACTTCATGAATAACGGATTTCTTTAGTTTTTTTGTTTACATTCTATGATTTTTATGAGGGAAAGCATCTGATCTTAATTTTTCTTTATTTGTTCTATTATAGTTTGGCTATAAAAGGGTAATTAACCCAAACCCTTGTCTCTCTACCAGTCCTGCTCACCTACCTCTGCCCACCCTGAACAGTTTGAGCTGTGACGTATTTACTGACGGGAGGACGTGATTTTTCACACAGGTGCTTTATCTGCTTGCCAGTGCGACTATTTGGGGAAGATAAGCTGCGCCTTCTGAATCCTGAGTCGTTTTCTATTCTGCCATCAGCATCCTTGCTGATAGAAGCTCGGTTTTAATTTTTGCAACAGAACAAAGAGAAACAACCTGCTTCTCCAGCCTGTTTGTGAACACATCTGGAAGTTTTCTGTATCTTTTTTAAAGCAAAGACATATAAAAGAGACAAGGACAGAAAAATATGATTTCTTGTTCTAACCAAAGACTTCAGTCTTTGCTTTGTGGATGCCTGACTTTTCTTGTTGTGACCTCTGTTGTGAAAGCAGAAGGTAAGTTAAGATTTTAAACCTTTATTGTTGATTAATAAATAACATAAAAAAACAAAACAAATGCAAGTCTTTTTAAAGCAGTTTTCAAACATAATTTAAAGTTACTGCCAAAAAATATCAAAGTGATCAAATTTGCTCATGCAAATTATTAGTTTGTTCCATTTTAAAAGCGAACAGCTAGAATTAAAAACAACACCTATCTCCAGCAGACTTTGGGTAAAAAGCGGTGTACACCTTGAATGTCACAAGTCCTTTTCAGGACAACATAAAGACATAGAACCATGCACAAATACAGTCACACCTAAGGGCAATTTAGAATCTATTAACATAGTCATGTCTTTAAACTGTGGGAGGAGGCGAGAGAATCTGGAGAACGCCAATGCATGCATGCATGCATGCAGAACAATTCCAGGGATCAATCCCAGGACCAACAGTGTTACTTTAGGCCCTCCTTTGCCAAACTAGATAAAGCTTATGTTTAATCATGCAAGCCTTTCTGAGGCACAAGCCTTATGATAGCTCTTAACTTTTGCTCAATTTATTTATATATTATACCTTTGTAGCTAAATAGCTCTTTGAGAAAACATAAGTGTCTCTTTTGATAAACGCTTAAATAACTGACTGCTTTCATTTCTCCGGCCAACCCAGGATCTGACCTCTTATCACAAGATCAGTCCAAAAAAATTTGTCTGACAGCATCAAGCAGACTGAGAAATGTCATAAAGTAAAACATAATGATTCAGTGTAAAGAGAGCTGGTCTAAAATCAAGTGATTTACACCTATCAGTCATTTAAAGACTTCAGTTGTCCAGCTAACTACAAAGAGAGTCATTTTAAACAACACAAAAACAGTTGGGAAACCTTTAGATGACTGAGTTTTCCTAAACTCCTCCAAGAGTACAACAACTTTATCCAGGAGATCATAGAAGAAACCTTAGCAACATCCAGGTCAATACAAGCTAAGGTCATTGTTCATGATTTAACAACATGAAGTTGGGCAATCATGACATTAATGGTAAAATTCAAAAGTAGAAATACATCCATTTTAATTCCAGCTGTCTATGGGCGAGAGGCGGGGTACACCCTGGACAGGTCGCCTGTCCATCAGAGACAAATGGGACAAACAACCATTCTCACACCTCAGGACAGGCGCGCTGGAAGCTGTTTCAAGCGAGGGGGGCTGATGGCTGGGTTGGAAAACACATGACGTCATTATGTTGAGGGCTGTGGCTGACGTTTTTAACATAATATTGTAGGCCTACATTTGTCGCCAAAAACTGCCATTTAAAATGCCTCGGAACAAATCATGAACATTTTAAACTTTATTTCTTCTCTTTTAATCATTCAAAACAAACAACAGCTCCCAATCAACAGGATCAGGAATAAAACATGGCCTAAATATAGCCTAAACTGAGCATTGAACGTCTTGAAAGTCCATTCGACTATGGATATGGGGAATGATTTCATATCTGAAACAAAAAACACACACAAAAAAAATTAACTAATTTCATATTTTATCACTAAATAGCTTAATACAGACATAACATTTAGTGATATGCAGCCTTATTCTAGCGTAGACTTCTTCAGCCACAGGACTAAGATGAATAGGCACATAAATAACGCTAAAAGCGGCAGTATAGGGGAATTAAAACCATTTCTTACCTCGAAATAGTCAGAAATACGTTTCTGCTGCCTATTGCTAGCCATGCCTAAACGAATGTGAGGTGGCGGAAGCTTCCGGGGGAGTAGCCTAGTTTTTTATGAAATATTAAAATAATGAATCATTAGTTTATATCTTATACACAGCCCATCATTTTTATCCCATATCAAACACAGTCTTTTAAAAAATAAATAAATAAATAATTTCATGTTTTTAAGTACAATATTATGTTACTCCACAGCCCCCCACCATGGGGGGCTGATGCTATGACGAGGGAGGCTGCAGCCCCCGCAGCACCCCCCTTCCCGTGCCACTGCCTCAGGAGAATTTATAGAAGCCAATTAACCTAACAGTCATGTTTTTGGACTGTGGGAGGAACCCAGAGTACCTGGAGAGAACCCACACATGCTCAGAGAGAACATGCATGCGGATTCCCCAAGACCTGGACAACGTATGATAACTGATCCATCAGGGGCAGAGTGATGATTGCAAAAGCTTCTCAGCTAACTCAAAAGTTGGATGCATTTTATTTCACTGTGGAAAGTGTGGAAAGATCACCCTTCTTAAAAAAAATATAAGGAAAATAATATTTTGAAAAACTGAATGGGTCTCATTTAGATTATGTTCTGGTTACTAAGTGCTGATGAATGGTTACTAACTGTAACCATTGACTATATTTTTACAAAGCAAAATAATTCTATAAAAAAGAAATAAATTATGGATAGAATATTTCAACAGATTTTCAACAGATTTTGTAAATATGATACACAAAAATACTTTAGCTGATTAGATTTAATCATATGTTAAAAATCATTTCAACCCCATTAGAGTTTAGAGTTAGTTAAAACCCCTGTAATCTCTTACATCTCTCAGTTTTAGATTAATTAGCAGTGATAATTATAGCCCTCTTCTCAGGCCTCCCTTTGAATGATGCTTTGCTTCGTCTCTTCACAGGTCGAGTGTTCATCTTGAGCCTGAGGAACTTGCAGGGCTTCAGGGAAGCTGAGCAGGCGTGTGCCTCACAACATGCCCGTTTGGCATCAGCGGAGGAGCTCCGTCAAGCTGTGGTGGGGTGCTTCTTCTCTCACTGTACCCGTGGATGGCTTTATGGAGCCACAGTGGGGTAAGAAAATAAGCATTTATCTTCCCACTTCTAAGGGGCTTTCTGGAGATGGTCAAAGGTCACTGTAAGTGTGAGCGCCTATACATGTGTGACAGAGGTTACAAGAGTGGATGAAAGAGCAAAGGGGATCCGTTTTAGCAAGTGTGGGAAGATACAAGAGTGACACATTTCAGGTAGGGGAGAGAAAAAGCAAAGAGCAAAACAGGGAGAAAGGCTCCTCTGTCTCCTCCTGAGGGATGAGGGAATTCTGAGCCGGGGTGTCATGTCGACAACTGACTCCATTTACGCCCCTCATCTCCACAGCAACATGAGATGCTGCTTTTATTCCCCAAGGGACAGAGAGAGAAGTGTGTTTGATTTAGGGGAGAGACGAGCACAATGATGGATGGTTGACAGTGTGTGATTTAGGTGAGTATAAAAGAGGAAGCCCAAACTGCCGTAGTTTTTGTCTGATTTTCCTATATCATAAATATGCCCACAGCAGTACTTTGGTTGATTCATGCATGTTTTAGTAATCTATAGGAATTATACCCGTCCCTGTCCTGGAAAACAACGGCCCCTCCAGGAAACACCTACCTCGCCTCTGCCCAGTAAACACCACACCCACTTTCTCCGATCAGAGTGCAATCATTTTTGCTCAAAGTTGAAATAAGGTGCCTTTTTTAGCATCTACTATGCACCAGGACAGCAACTGTTCTTATTTAAGTTAATTTCTAAGTCCTGAAAGTGTGTTTTGGGTGAGTGATCTCAGATTTTGTTTAGCCTTCCTAAAGAAGAGCCTAATCACCAAAAGTGGCCGGATCGCAGTGGCTCTAGGGTGATGCAACGAAATGGGAAGAACCCACACAGGGTGGCGTTAGAGTGATGGCAGACATCTTTATTGCAGACTGGAAAAATATAATACAGAAAACAGCCAATATTTAATGAGAAATGAGTCGTCCTCAGTGTCAAACGTCATTATGTACAGTATATGCTTATAGTTGACTTTGTAAGGTCTAAAGAGGCCTAATATAGAAACTTTAAAGTCCATCCATCCCCATCTCATCAGATATATAAGGTTCCTACGACTAATTATGGTTCTCTTAAGAGTTTAATGTTCCCGGAAAAACCTTCAAAAGGTGGAAGCATCATGTTCAGGTGACTGTACCACCTCTACTGACCGCGGTCAATGCTGATTAACAATGGCTTAATGCTGAGATCCTCTTCTGATGGAGCTCCTCTTTTTCTTTAAAGCCGTGTCTTGATACCTCAAAATGAAAGCCAACTTCAGCAGCTAAATTGTTATACATAGCTATACATAAATGATCTCGTTCTTTTGATTAATATCCAGATATAATAGGCCTGCAAGGTGTAGGGGGGTTCTGGATCAAATTAGGTCAAGTCTCTCTCTTGTCTGGTAAGGTTTTCTCTTGTTGTTTATCATCAAATTTCTTAAATGGCTATTTGTCTTTGACCTGCCAGAGTCCTTTGATGGAAAACCTAAAACCCAACACCTAAATAAATTGGAGAAAGTAGCTGTAGTATGTTAGTTAAACAACTTCATCCTGATGAATATTCTTTTTCCGTGAAATTCTATAAAAGGAAAACATTTAGGCAGGGATTGAAATCTCCAGAGCTTTTTCAATCCAATATTGTCTAATGTTATTTGTTATGTTATGCCTACCTCTATATTTCCAGGTACATGTGTTGTATGCCTTTAAGTTTAAGATGTACAGCTTTAATATTGTAGAATGGTAGTTAAATAGACAGGAAATCTCACTTATGCGGCGACAAATCCTTACAGACAAATACACATTGCAGGCTTTGCATGGTCTCAGTCAAGGGAATTTATGAGAGGCTGGACTTTAAGCTGTAGAATCGCAGAGTGTTTAAGAAATCAGGCCAGTTAAGAAGTTAGTGTCAGAAGTCAGAAGATTATTTCCATTTAAGAACTGCAGGCTGTCTGTTATATTCTATAACAGTGGGATAAAAAACAACTGAGCTACAGTAGAACTTATCACAGCCACCAATAGGCACAACATCCAGTATTTAATGCAATATCTGGGACTTATATAGGAGTGCATTTAACCATCTGGAACATGTAGCCAAACATTAACGGCATTTTTTAATCAATTAAAATGAATTTTTGAAATGACCCTCCCCTTCCACTTAAAAAAATGCACATGCACAACCCTGTACCCGCTTCCGAGAGGGAATGCCTATTAAGCGCGTGCGAGAGCATGCACAGGCTCATTTCTCCTTGTGAATGCTCTGTTTAAAAGTACTGTTTGCATCGCCCATACTTACTTACTTACCTTCCAAGAGAAGATTTGCAATTTTTCCACAATGTCAGACTCACCACTGGTAAGTGAAATGGGGACGAGCATGTTGGCTGGCCTTACGTAAAAACATCATCAAAATGATTGACAATTAGGAGGACCACTTATGTTTATGATCCAGCCGGAAAAGGAACATCCTCATTCTAAAGAGAATCAATAATAAAACCAGATGCAGTACAAACAAATACAACAAACCAGGTACCACAGTTACCCTCCTTTGACTAGACATGTAAATTCAAACAAACTTGTGACTGATTTATTTTTCTACTATAGCTTCATTTTAATGGCTGTGCATAAAAACACAATTTGGGTCAGTACTGTGAAACAAAACAATATGATAGAAAGAGTTGAAAGGAATGTCCAGAATATTGTCAAGTAATGACAATGTACATGTAATGACAAAGTTGGGGAACCATTTAGAAATTCATTGAGGAATTTATCATGACAAACATACAATAAAATGCAAAGGGAGAGAAGGACACTCTTTTTATTTAAATTTGTATTCCTTTTAATCTATCTAATTTTAATCAAACTTCAATTGCACTATAATATTCGGTAAGTTAGTTGTTCTAGATCACTGCCTGCTATCTTGGTTTGAGCTTTCCTTGTTTTCCACCAGAGACCTGCATCAGTTAACTAACAGACAATTTGAAATTGACATTATTTTTAGGTATATTCCTATTTTAAAATACTACTCAGCCTATTCTCATGCATCAATAATCTTACTTTACATACAACTTACTTCTACCGCACCAGGTTTTTTTCTGAAAAACATAAGCTTTTTGGTTTTGTACATATGTCAAGGTTTTACCACTTTTTCTTTCCCATATATTTTCACAGTTTTCTGTATTATACTTTATTTACATTCTGTCTGTCTAGTGGAGTGAGTAGTTCTGATGTCATCTTTGTGTCTGTTTACAGGACCACAGTTTGTAACACTGATGGGAGCTCGCTTAAAGCAGTTGATGTGAAGACGGAAAATGCTACAGAAAAAACTGCACATCTGAGTGCCTTCTGCATAAAAGACAAAGGTTTGGAATGCAAATTCATTTCTAGTGTTAGAAAATAATCTTTGCCAAGGGTTCTTTACTAGTCTTCACTAAAGTTTAAAGATAAGCAAAACTAAATGTATAATTTTTTAAAAGAAACATACCACAGCCAGATTCTCTCCCTAAGACTTCCTCTTTCAACAGCTTAGTGAATGTTTTGCCTTGACACTAAACTCTCATTCAAAACTCATATAATTTCACTATTCACAAAGGTCAAATTTCTAGTTGTTTTTTGTATTGTAATACATCATCTCTTATAGTTCTTAATTTTTGCAGCACAAACCAGTCTACATTTTAGTAGCCCTGTCAGCCCCTCTCTTCCTCAATCTACTGTAATACCCCATTTGGGCGTACTTCCTTCCAGCCTTCTGCTGCAGTTGAATGAAATCATCTGCCATTCTCAAAAGAATAAATCCTTTTTTGTTCTTTAATTTTGGATAGATGCATCTTTTTTTTTAAAGAATCTAACCATTACATAATGTAAACAATAGTTTGTTTTATCCCTATTAGATTTGTTAATTGTATGAATTGTATCAATCCTATTTTTCCATTAAATTAACTACAATTGATTTAATCCTAATACTAATTTCAGAGAAATGTGGTGACATTAGTCAGAGGCTTTACTTTAGTATCACAAGCATCTGTCTGTTTGTTGTTAATAGTTGCGGCTTGTGGAGACCCTCCATCCTTCCCCTATGCTCGTCTGCAAGATCACTCAGGGTCTGAGATGGGAGACGAGCTTCTGTATATGTGTGCGCCCGGTTACATGATGCCCAGTGGTCATACCTCCTTCAGCCTGCTGTGTGACAGCTGTGGGGAGTGGTACGGGACTGTGCAGATCTGTGTTAAAGGTAAAAAAAAATGTCAAGAAGCAGGAAAAAATTTAAATAGTTTATTTGTTTAAAGTTTTGAAAGTTTTATTATCTACTGGGGGGAAAAAAAACAATATGAGAAGTGATGATAATATCTTCTTTGACACCTCAGTGTGACATGCCATGATGGGGGCCATGGTAACAGAGAAAAAAGGTCTAATAAAAGTTTTCCCCTCAACCAGACGAATTGGTCTTTTAGGTCTGTCGGTTTGCTGTGTTTTTATCAACTTGTCTAATGCAAATATAAGAGGTTTGCAAGGAGATTTACGACTGACAAATGGCAAAAAGAACAATCACAAACACTTCTAAATTATTTATGATCCACATTACCTGCCTTATGGTGCTGCTGAAAACTTCCATAAAGTACATAATGTAAAAATCTATGTGAACAAACATATCCTTTTTCCTTTATCTTTCAGATTCCTACTCTGTTGAACCACTGTTAAGGTGTTTACATGACCTTAAAGCTTGGATGTCTTTAAATTTTCTGAATTTTAATGAAGAAAAGACAGAAGTCATGGTCTTTGGTGGCACATCTGTGACCCCCTCCCTAGTTGATCTCGGTTCTCTATCGCAATACAGTAAACCAACTGTAAGAAACCTCGGGGTAAAAGTGGACTCAGACCTTAAATTTGACAGCCAGATAAAAGCTGTAATGAAATCTAGCTTTTTCCAGCTAAGGCAGCTGGCAAAGATCAAACCAGTCCTTCAGAGAAAGCACTTTGAGACAGTAATCCACGCCTTTGTGACCACTCGGCTGGATTACTGTAATGCACTTTATGTGGGGATTGCTGGGTCCTCAATTGCTCGTCTTCAACTTGTTCAAAATGCTGCTGCACGTCTTTTAACTGGCACACGCAAGTACGAGCACATTTCACCTGTTTTAGCTTCACTCCACTGGCTGCCCATCCATTTTAGGATTAATTTTAAAATTCTTTTATTTACTTTTAAAGCCTTGAATGGCCTTGCCCCAATTTACCTCTCTGAGCTTCTGCACCCCTACACTCCCAGCCGATCTCTCAGGTCAGCTGATCAGCTGCTCCTGACAGTGCCTAAAGCAAGGCTTAAGCTCAGAGGGGATCGAGCGTTTTCTGTTGCAGCTCCAAAACTCTGGAATGCATTGCCGCTGCACATTAGACAGGCCACCTCTCTGTCTCATTTTAAAACTCTTCTTAAAACCCACCTCTTTTCTTTGGCTTTTAACACCATGTAGAGTGTTGATTTTATGTACACATGTTGATTTTATGTACACATGTTGATTTTATGTATACACATGCATATTTTTATCCTGTGCGGGCAGTGCTTTTATTTTATTTTATTTTATTTTATTACTTTTATTTATTTTAGTTATTTTATCTTTTTGTGCAGCACTTTGGAAACCTTGTGTTTATTTAAACTGTGCTATATAAATAAAGTGGATTGGATTGGATTGGATTCAGTTAAACTGCTATACTTTGTCTAAATTAACCTTCAATAAATTCCTTAATTGGGGCAACAAAATTTATATTTTTTGATGCAATAAATTAATTAAAAAGAAAATATAAAAACTAAAAAACAGTCTGAGATTGCAGACCTCTGCTAAGCGGCACTTTTTCCCCCCATATTGTGACTTACATCAGTAGCTAAAACTCACACATGACCTCAATCATTACCTAATTTTACTGAATGGTTTCTTGGTATGATGTTCCCATTTGGTAACATTTTCATCAAAAATTCTTTTGTAAGTTTATAAATAAGGCACAGAATGTGTCTGCAGCCTCTGGTGTCTGTTCTGCTCTCACCTTCATGTAGTGACATTCGAAGTTGCAGCAGATCTTCAAGTGAGTCATTGCTCACCTTTCCTGTGTTTGTGTCTTAAGTATAATACATCCTTACTTTTTAGTAGTAGTCAAAAAAGTAATAGTCACTGCTGCCACCATCAGGTTTGGGGGGGAACTGCTTGTTCTGCCAAATAATCTTGAAGAATCCTTAAAAAAAATCCTGCATCCGGATTATGATGTGGATCATCACCTAAATTTAAGGGGTTGTTCCTTTGACTGAGGTGAACATTTGGTTAAAAAAAAAATTAACCAATTTAACTTTTCAAGTAATTCTGTACACAGACGGACAGACAGACAGACACACACAAACTCCTAAAAACATAATTCTTGGCGGAGATATTCATGTACAATGCTAACATTAAATCTAGCATCTAAAATGCTAACATTATTGTGATTTAGCTTTAATTTTTTATTTATTTTTGTCATTTTATCTTTAGATGCAGCGGAAACCCATTTAGATTATGAAGATAACTTTGAAGATTCCTTTGAAAAGACAGATCACAATCATGACAGTCATGAAGAGGTATTTGGTGACACATTTGAGAATGGGAAGAGGATTCTCCAACAGCAGGAGACAAGATTTTGGGTAAACATAGGGGACGATCACAAGGATCAGCTGGAGGTGCACAACTCTGGGCCAAAGGTGATTAACAACAGTAGAACCTTTGAAGGAATTGTGGAGGACATAGCAAAAAGAGAAGATGATTTCACAATCCATCCAAGGTTTGCACAGGACAGGGACAAGTTGGTCCAAGTTGGTGCAGCTGAAGCCACAAAGGAGCCTGTATCTCTTCTCTCCCAAAAACACATGTTCTGGTTCCCTTCTGAGGCTTTCCAGGAGGAGGTACCTCCCTTCACCGGCGACTCAGTCACACAAGCAACACAGAGAGCCTCTGGTGGCCAGTCTGAGGAAAGCAAAGAAAACGAGAGCAGAGAAAGGGTTGAAAGCATCAAACCTGATGACCATCGTGATGACCATGATGATCATCACGATGATCATGATCATGATGATCATGATGACCATGATGATCAACATGATGACCACGATGACCAACATGATGACCATGATGATCATCCCGATGATCATGATGACCATGACGATCATCATCATGACCATGACGATCATCATGATGACCCTGACGATCATCATGATGATCAGGATGACCCTGACGATCATCACGATGACCCTGACGATCATCATGATGATCAGGATGACCCCGACGATCATCACGATGATCATGATGACCCTGACGATCATCACGATGATCATGATGACCGTGACGATCATCATGATGACCGTCACGATCATCATGATGACCATGATGATCATCATGATGATCAGGATGACCCCGACGATCATCACGATGATCATGATGACCATGACGATCATCATGACAAAGATGATCATGATGACAGCCACCATGATGAGCTGGATATCCATGAAGATGACAACACTGACAATCCCGATGATCAAGACAGTCGCCAGGAAGAGGACTTTGATGACCATATACCTGATCGACACAAAGACGATGATGATCATGATGACCATTATGACATGGATGAAGATGATGACCATAATCCCCCTCACCATGGCACCAAGAAGAATGACGATCGAGATGATCTATATGACGATCACCATAGTAAAGAGGATCATGATGATGAACGCAGGGATGACGATAGAGAACACCCTGATAATTCTGAGGAACATCCAACAAGTGATGATCATGATGATGGAGAAGAGCATTACGATCTTGATGAAGATGATCTCCACAATCTTGAAGACAGAAACAAGGAGAGCTATGATGATCACGATAGTCGTGAAGACGATACCGATCACCCACATGTAATTATTACTGTAGGCGCTGAGCGGCGCCTAAACATCACCCAGAAGGAAGAAGGACAAAAGACCAAAGGAAATACCTGGCTGGATGGTTATCCTGTTGATCTGCTTGATTCCACTAAAAGACAGATGAGACCCAGTGTGGTAAAAACAACAAATACACCCAATAAGGGAGACACACATAAGCAAGTTCATCCCATCAGTTTGTCAGATGAAGATAAATCCCTCACTACAGCCCCTAAATCAGATCAAGGCAAGGTGAAAAAAGGTGTTTCAGCTACCTCACCTGACCGTGTAGAGCATTCAAACCCCCCCTCATACTCAGACTACCTGGATTACGGCACACAACAAGCTGCTCCCACCCACTCCTGGCTGAACGACCTCACCGGTCATCCCTTCCTCGATCACGGCCCAGCTCCTCCGATGCACAACCTTGACCCCTTCCCTGGAGCAATTGAGGAGCACATTGTGGAGAACCTGCCAGGTGAGATGGGTGAGATGGAAGGAGAGAAGAGGCAGACAATATGTGTGGGTGAGGACTGTCCCCCAAACCCTCCAAGCTCAACCAGTCAAGGGGCGAAGGTTGCGGCCATCATTGTGGCAGTGTGCGCCGTGGCCACGGCAGTCATAGTAGGGTTGTGGTGTTTCCGACGGAGACAGCAGAAGAGTTCAATATACGAGATGAACGGGAAACAAAACCAACAGATAGAGATGGAGCAGAAAGTGTAGAAGATGGAGAATAAGGACATTGCTGAAGAGCAGAAACGTTACAGAAAGATTAAGGATGATAAGCAGAAGAAATGTAGTTTTCTTGATCTTGTTTGTCACTATTGCAGATGTGAACACTTTGCTTCTGTGCTGCTTCTGTGAAAAAAAGCTTTGCTGAGTTAGATACAAAATATTCCAATAGTAACAGGAACTATTGCATGGTAACAGTTGACGATGCAATAGTTCCTCACTCTTCAGTTATATAAAGATTAAAAAAACAAGTATCAATTACTTTTAAATGTCTGCTTGTAGCTGGATGCAAATGGGCTGTGCCTAAAACTGGAACCCCCTAAAAATATATGACTTTAGGGAAACCATTATACACGGCTGTTTGCCTCCATAATTCTAAAGAGGAGGATTCTGGGTGAGGATTTCAACTTTAAAGGTAGTGAACATTTTAATGAATATTGTGTTACCTTAGTTTTGGTTGTTTTTTTTTAATGTTTGGAGTACCTAGATGCATGTTTCTCTAAATCAGGAGCGCCAAATCTGCTTCCTGCTTATACATACTTTAGATGTGTTTCATTTTCTCTTCCCTGATTTCGCATAATTGTTCCTGTATAACAAAAAATCTTTAGCCATTTGAATCAGGCTGGTTGGGACAATCTTGTTAAAACTCCCACAGTGAATCGTCTCTGGTTATAAAGGAGTCGCCAGGTGTTCTTTTAGGATTAACTAACAGAATCAACATTAGCAGATAGCAATGGCTGGACTATTGCAGGGGTCCCAATAATGGCCCTTTTAAGATACTTTTCTAGTGACTTTTAGTTGAGCGCTTGGTCTAACTCACATCAATCAAATAACTGGCTCATCACCAGGCCTCTGCAGAACCTGAGGAGATAATGCAGATGTTTGATCCTGTTGTGTTACAGTAGGGATATTTTTAAAAGTTGCAGGGCAGCAGTTTTCTGTCAGAATAGATGAAAGCCCTTGAATGTTGTAAATCCAGAATGGAGAAGAAAAATCATGTGACTGTTTTTTTTTTTACTCTCTGTGATAGCTAGCTTATAAAACATATATGATGTATTCAAAAATAATTGTGCAGTAATGGCTCATTAGTTTCAGATATCAAAAATATATTTTATTAATTGTTCTTTTAGGGTTTTATGTGACCATACAACTTTAATAAATGTCAAATGCAACAATTAGCTGAATATGTTTAAATTTGAAGTAGATTTCCCATACAGTTTAAACTACATAAATTCAGGAGTATATTCATAAACCCTACTAATGTTTATTGCCTGTGCTACATTGTGACAAAACATTTGCTATAGCCAATAATAATCTGCTTTATTACGCCTGGATGTTTGACTATTCCTCCTATCCGAATAGAAGGAGCTAATTTGAACTGGTAGTTTTATCTGGTATGGATCATGTGTATTAGCGTTGTTTAAGATAAGGCTATAAAGACCTGTTGTAAAAAGTCAATGTTAGCCAGCTTTGTCAATTTCAAAACAGAAATTAACTACTTTAGGGTCCAATATCCTGTTAGAAGCCTTCTTTGAAAATTACCATAAACATAATATAAAGTGTAATAATAATTATTTCTATTTTAACCTTAGCATAGAACCATATTATGCAGTGTTATTGGTTGTAAATAAATCAGCAAGTCATAATCCCATCTTTTATAGCAGCCTAGACACGTGTAATTCTAATCTTTTAATAAACTTTCTGAAAAGTTTTATAGTTTTAAACATATTATCATGTCAGACAGACCTGATTCCCCCCCCCCCCCCCCCCCCCCCCCACTTAACATAAGAATGCGAGACAAGCAATACTCAAAAGTATAATTTGAATTAATTACTTCTTTAAATAAGAAAAGAGGGAAACCCATTCTTAAGGGGTAAATGTTAAGTTATAGTAACACAATTAACACAATACAAACATGACAAGCAAGGATAAAATAAAAGTGGAGCTCAGATAGTTGGTAGACTTGAACATATGCATCATCATCCAGAATAGAACCCATTTCACTCTTCCATACACAGAGAGGATGCAGCCCAAGAAAGATGTCCTTGCTTCAAAATGCAGACATTTATGCTTAACCAGTATTTTCTACTGCCAGTTAAAACCGCACACCTTCTGGATAAAGATTTAACTTTTATTATTTAACTGTTCTGGTCCCAATACAAATACTTATTGTTAGGGGAGTCAACTTCAGGCATATTCTTAAGAACAGTCTACCAAGGGTAGAGCATGGTGGTGGTAGAATCATGCTTTGAGGCTTTTTTTTTTAAGAGTTACAAAATATATATGGTTAGGCTGTCACTGACAGATACATATTTAAGTGGATGCATTGAAAATATTAGTTTAAAATATTTGTTTTCAGAAGACGCTGCGGGGCCCTTGGCGCCCATGGGCACCGTGTTGGTGACCCCTGGTATAGGGTTATAATATAAATGTGGCTTTTCTAGTTAGGTACACAAGTCACTTTTTAAATATATGTATAACATAACCAATTAATGTAAGAACTGTTAATGAGAGAAGACCCATCACATCAGCAATGGTTTCCTCTGATATGTTTCCAGTTCTAAGCTCCATAATAATCATGTTTAATCTGCTGTATGTACATTTTGGACTGAAGGATGGGGTTATCTGGATCCGGCAGCTCTGTGCCAGCCTGATGTTCTCATTTAGCCTTGAAATAATTGAGGGGTGCCCTTCTTTTCTTGGCATTTGAGGTTGAAATTAATGGCAGCATAGGCAAAAAAAATGTACTTCTTTTAATATGTGTAATTGTATTAATCTTATGCAGCTGTTCTGCAGAAAAATGAATATTTTTTCGTTACAAAGCAACAGAATCTGTGTTGGCGTGAGTCAGTAATCTAATTTTTTTAATTGATACTGTTCTAGTTGTAGACGAAGAAATTAATTATACAACACATTTTTTTAAGATTACAATTATGCTATAAACTATAACTATTATAACTATTAATAAATGTTATATATGATAATATTAAAAATAGGACATTTCAGGTCATTGCTTCTGTTAAGTAAGAATAAATAAACTTTTTATGGTGATGACAAAATGTAAAGATGAGTCAAAAGTTTCTTGTGGCGATAAAAGACGTCCTGTGATTCCTTGGTCTCAATAAACATAAAAACAATTCTTTGTTTTTAAATTGTGTTTGAGATTCTCATTCCAGTTAGAATGAAACAGTGTGGTTATGAATTAATGACTTTTTTCCGTATCTTGTCACGTTACAGAAACAAACTGAAATGTATTGATATTTTATTTTATAGATTGAGATGTTAAAGGAAGTGAATCGTTTTAATAAAATCGCTCAGAATGAAAATCTGAAGAGTGTAGGATGATTTTATTTTAAATATCCTTCAGTCTGTACCTTGCAGAGCCTGCCTTTGGGGAAATTCATCTATCTTATTTTGCTTTCTATTTTAAACCGTATTACCAGATTCTCAACTAGAGGTCTGGACTTTGAATGGGCCATTCTACCAGATAAACATAACTTAATCTAAATAACTATTATAGTTTTGGTTTCATCAGACCAGAAATATTTGCAATATTTTGCAATATTTTGGTGTACCTTCTACAACTAAACTGCAAACACAAAAAATGTATGATTTTCTCAACAACAAAAAAAACCTCTCATGCCATCAATGAGCAGCTTGTTTCATACTTAGTTTAAACCCGAAGATTGGTTAGAGGGTTATATTTAGGGGCATCAGAGGAAAGAGGCTTTAACACAAATTTAAGAAAAATAAACATTGTATTACATAAATATTTGCTGTTATGTTATGAGCTGTATTTTATGTGATTCCTGGCAACCACCCGTGTCTTACCACAATAGATGTGATATTTTGCAGCCAACTCCTTTTAATAAATCAAAACTCTTCTGTGCAATAAAGGGGAGAGAATTCAAGACAGAAAGGCAGTAAATGAGACAGAGCAGGGTGAGATTGCAGACCCACAGTAACACAAGAGGAATGTGATCCTGTGGGTTTCTAACACCACTGTGAGACAAACTACACAGAGACTCAATGTTCAAACATTAATAACCAACTCAGTGTTTTCTCTCAATGCCTCCTCTCAGCTCTGTATCACGTTTTCCACTGCTTTTCTGCCTTTTTTTCTTGAATTTTAATTAAAGCTCAGGTGAAAGCAAAAATCCCTGAACTGGAACAGAGAATTAATTCATTAATTAATCCACCAAGGTAATTATTTTAACCATGGAAACTAAAAATAACTGCTCTGCATTTATCTAAAAGGCTGCACTGCTAATATATATTTTGGATTTGAATTTGTCCCAGTCTTATTCTCCCCTTTTAATGGACTGAATCAACATTCATTTCAGAAACATCTTTGAACCTGTGCGCATAAATTACAGAGAAAATCAATTATAGAAATGTATTTTATTATCATACATAACCCATCCATGATTCACATTGTGGAATGAATTCAGAAGACAGTGAAAAAGGATATTTTCTGTAAAAAAAAAACGACAAATCAGCAACACAACTAAGGGTTAAAGGTGACAAACGTCTTAAGTTAAAAACTCTAAGTATTCAAATAAATACAAACATCGGAGTGTTTTAATCATTTGAGATTTGGTATTTTGGAGTTTTTCCATGTGTGCTATTGGTCCTCGTCCAGAAACTCGTCTATAAACTCCACCACCTCCCCCTGTGAACAAACAAATACGCAATAAAACAAATTAAAAGGGTCTGTTTCATTTCAAATTGTTTATCCTCTTATTTGGCCCTCAAATTTCTCACATTCATTATCAGAGTTATTTATTTCTAGTGCTTAAATTAATCTAAAAACATAAAGCATATAAAACCTTTCAGTTAATGCTGTTCAAAATAACCAGCCTAGTGTGATGCTGTCCCCACATGCTGGTTAGTGGTATTGCAGCCTGGAGAACACAGCCCATGTTGTTCTGCAGGAAGTCATGTGAACTTATTAAATAATCAATCCTCTTTTATATACAAATAACACTTGAAAGACTATAAAAGAAACAAAAAACCAGTCCTAACATTTTTTTTAAAGGTTTGTTCATATTGTTTCATAATAAATACAGACCTTTTTTTTATTATTGGTCCCAAAAGGGATCCAAAGATCGACTAACACC